ACGGACTTACAAGCTTTCTATGGTGATGCTTTTCACTATTCCTTTCTCTCCCCCTCCAGTGTCTATTTTATAATAGAATGCAAGGAAAACCAAGATTCAAAAGACAGCCAAGCATCTTAATATTCCCCCGTTTTCCACATTCCAACCATGGCTCAATCTCTGTATCCCAGAACCCTGTTGTTCCCAGGTTGTGCACATTACTGAACATTTTGTTCAAAGATTCCATAAAAGAATCTTGATCAAAAAGAGGGAAAATGCAGAGCAGAATTTCAAATTCTCATGGAATCCAGAATATATGGAGCCATGGAGCTGGGTGGACTACGGCCCTGAGATAATCTTTAACCCTTATAACTTAAAAATAGCCCCTTAAATTAAAAACTTAACATTAACCTGGCTTGAATAATTAAAAAAAACATTTGCCTTGAGCATTATGCACCCCGAGAAAGATTACATAGGGACGTTGGGGGACAGTGAGTTTATGTTACTGAGGGTAACTATAGGAGCACAACCCTAATAGTGTCACTGAATTGCGCATGTAGACACTGTTGAAATGGTGTCTGTTTCGCCCCTTATCTTCTCAACAACAAAGTTAATACAATTTGAGAAAAAAAAGGAAAGACAGACTGGAAGGAGGTGCCCCCCTGAGCTAGAGTTCTAGGTAGCAGTAGGTGCTGCCAGCCAGCCACACACAGGTACCCTATCCAGCTCTGCTTGGGACAAACAGGCCTGTCCTCCTATAAGCCTCTCTCCCACAAGCCAGACCTTTTGGGGCAATGGGATCCTCAAGGGGCTGGGGAGTGACAGACACAGAAGCAGACTGAGGACATAAACCCAACAACGCATCAGCATCCTTCACCACTTTATGGGTCTGGGGGGCGGAGCTGCAATGTGAACCCAGGGACTGGAACCAGGGAGACTGAGGTTCCAGGGGTGGGGAGGCCAAAAGCAGGAGGAATCTGGAGCCCCTGAAAAACACCGTTGACTCAGCTGGTTGGTCCTCCGACTGTCTCCTCTTCAGACAAGTCTCGGAACAGTCCACCCCGCTGCAACAAAGCCCCAAATGATCCCTAGCTCTCCGTTGGCAAGACTCAAGGTGGCCTCAGGTGGAAGAGCACGAAAACTTTGCAAAAGTGTGAGAATCCTCAACTGTCCTTGCCCGACCTGTCTTAGCCGGTCTCGGACGGTAGCAGGGTGGCGACCTCCGGATGCCGGAGGCAAACGGGGTCGGGGTGCCAGCAAAGAGGCGGGGCGCGGGGGCCCAAGTAATTGCGCACGAGCCGCATGTGTGCTCCTCAGCCGGGACGCTGGGGCCATCAGGCTGAGGCATGGACGCAGCTGCCACTCCCCGACGGGCGCCCCGGGGGGCTGCGGGATCCACCGGAGCGCGAGCAAGGGCCGTCCGAATGGTCCCCTTGGGAGCGCACGACCGCGGGACACATGTGTCCGTTCTCTGACACCTCACCCGTCAAGGGGGTTGGGGGCCAGGAGGGCGGGGAAATCAACAGAGAGGGAGTGAGGGAAGAGAGGACTCAGAGGAATGGGGCCAGTGAAGAGAGAGGGACAAAAGAACGGGACAGGGAGGAGATAGAGAAATGGAAGAATAAGGGAAACGGACAGAGATTTGGGAACCAGAGGGACAAAAGTACGAGAACAGATGGGGGGGGCTGGGCTAAGGAAAGGGAGGATGGAATTGGGGGTGGGGACCGGGTCCGGGAGGAGGCAGGCGAGAGAGGGGCGAGGGAACTGCGCTAGGCACGTCCCGCAGGCGCCCCGAGGGTCCGCCCGGTAATTAGGCCTCGGTCCAGATGGGCCCCCCCCCCAGTCCCGCAATCAAAATGCTAATTGGCCCCGTGCCTCCGGCTGAGCCTCGGTCCTGCCCTCCTGGGAGGTAGTAGGGGGCAAGCTGCAGGCCGAGGGGACCCCCGCCCTGGCGCCCACACTGTGGGCCTCGCCGGCTGCGGCTCAGCGATAAGGGGGCGGCCGCGCCCCGCTCCGCCCCTCGGGAGCGCCTGCCACGCGAGATGGATGTCCCGCCACAGTAGAGCGGCGCAGTCTCACAAAGCGGGCCCGCTGTCTCCGTCGCGCTCTCGGCGCCCGCCTTCGCGGCTCTGCCGGCCTGCGCGATGCGCCAGGAGAGACAGTGAGGAGTCAGAAAAGCGCAGGTTGGGCAGCCGGGGTGCTGAGCTCAGCCCCTGCGGCGCGCCCCCGGCTCCGGACCCGCCCCCTCACGCGCGCTCCCTGCCGGCGTCCGCGGGACCGCTACGCACAAGGTCACCGCGTGCAGCCACGAGCACGAGCCCTCGCCCCTCGCACGCCCCTGGCTCTGTACGGCTCAGAGCCACCTTGCGACGTTGGTCCCCAGCGACAGAGGGCTGGGTGGGGGCGCTCTTGGAGCCGAACATCCAGGCAGGGACGGATGAGGGGACAATGGCGGCCCCGGCCCCTAATTGGGGACATATGTCCTAGCGCGCGGCCATTGTGAGGGACCGGAGCCCCCAGCGCGCCCCCAGCGCCCCCACGCCCTGCTATTGGCCACTGAGGCTGACGTCATGGGGGCTGCAAACTCGGGTCGGGCGGCAGCGAGAAGGGTTATCCGCCTGGTTGTGGGCCCGCCGCGGGAAGCTGCAGTCGCGCGGAAGGGCGCAAAACTACCCAAGAAGCCGAATTTCGGGAGCAGGGGCATGACAACTCCTCCTTCCCCAAGCACTCGGTTCGCTGCATCGCCGTCGCGCTTGACATCTGCCCCATGGGGAGGGGGGGCACCTGGGAGAACCCTACATCGGGCACGGGGTCAGTCCGGGTAGCAGGGAGACACTGCGGCACAGGGCGCGCATTAAGCTTCCACACTGCGCTTTCGCTGCCTCAGCATCCGCTCGCCGGCTCCCACCTCCCCCACCCGCCCCCGCAGATCTCGCTCCTCTAGACCTGCAGCGAGGCAAACCGGGCCCCGGCCGGGCCCGCCCTGCATTTCTCCCTCAAAGATTCCAAGTCTGGGCGCATAGGTCCCAGGCCTGTTTCCATCTCTCGCCCGATGTCTGACAAGGCCACAGACCACTAGGCCTCCTTTCCATCCAGGGCTGCACCAGGGAACTCCCCAAATGCGGGGCCGCGGCATCCCCACGACCCCTCCCAGAGGGCCGGCCCGCCCCAGCCCTGCGCAGCCATTTCCGCCGGCCTCTCCCCCGCCCCCGCTCCCACCCCCACCCTCAGATCCTGGGCTTTAAAAGCCAGAGGCTGGGCCCAGCGGCAGGCAGAGGCGGCCGCGGGCGCGGAGGCCGGCCCAGGAGCTGTCCGAGCCCCGCCCCCGGAGCCCCC